GCTGGATAGAGGGGAAAAAAGGAATAAAAAAACCTCACAAAAATAGAAGGTAAACTAAGATAAGAGAGGAAGGGGATTGAGTGGGAGAGAGGATATACAAATATACCACAATGAATCATATGTGTGTGTGTGTATATTCATATATATATGCATATATATATATGCACATATAAACACATATACATGTCTACATAAAAGTACAATTTTTATTTCACTCTAGTTCCTAATAAAGTACTTAAAGTAAATAGGTTCTTCTTTAAGGACTCTGCCATCTGATCAACAGAGTAAAAGAAAAAGGCTTTAATTATAATTTCTCAGTCTACATCATATTCCATGGGAGAAGATTTTACACAGAAATTTATTCATAATTAATTTGTCTTTCTGTTATTTTTTTTAAGGCATACAAAGCGTCTGTCAGTCACCTTTGAAAGACCTGGCTAAACAGCTCCTCTTTAAACATTCCCATTAATCCAGCCATAGGGAGCATTAAATATTTAGGAGTGTGGTGCCAACTACTTTGTCAGAACAGCTCCATTTACATTTCACTCCCCTGTTACCAATTGTAGCTGATGATTTAATTAGGTGGATGGAGTTACTTACAATGATCATTAATAAGCTGTGTTAATGTCATCAAAATTCCTATTCTCCAGAGTTGAGGGAACAGCACAAAAAGAAACCTGCCTAGTGAGGAGGATAGCCTGTTTCTCACTAAATTCGTTCTGCTTTTTTCCCCTTCAATAATTAGCCTTGCTTTGTTTGGTATGTTCACACTAATTACAGCAACAGCCCTATTTTATTTATTTTTTTAATAAAAGATCCCTTCATTTGATTATATTTGCAGAAAGTCTGCAGTGCATAGCTCTTACAAAGTACCAAAAGAACCGCTTGGTATTCTTTTTTTTCCAAGATGTTCATGAGAGCTCTTCTTTTTACTAAAATAATGTCAAACAAATAAAGAGTATCAGAAAACCAATATGCAAATAAAGCATGGTCTTTATGGAGTCTATATGCCAATGGCCTTTTTGAATGCTTTATTTTGGTGTGCAGGTGTAGACTATGGAAATATCATTTCTCATCTTCTAAATGAATATACAGTTGGAAGAATTAGGAGAATATTATGTAGAATTCTGGATTTTCATCAAAAGCTGACATTTCCAAGAGAATTTGTCTGATGCTTGCTCAGAAGGCAGAGAGTGTAAAAAGACAGAATCTCATGTCCAAGAGTAGCAGGACCCCACTGCAGCCCATGTGGTTCCATATGGCACCCACAAATGAAAGAGTCTGTGATTTCCCAACTAACTTGAAAGTCATCTCAGAATACCACTTCCAGCTCTCCAGTTATCCAAAAGACAAACTCTGTATCATTTGCTCATAGGGATAACAAGAAAAATGGAAATAGTGTGACTCCTGTGAAGGAGAACTGCAACTTTAAAGAATCCTTTAAAAAAAAATACATCCAAGCTAAATCCCTTTAAACCTGACAAGAAACTCCCACAAAGGATTCATTATTTATAGGAGTCTCTGCACTGAAATGGATTAAGACTTGCCCTCAGAGAAAGAAACACTAGACAACTAATTCAATAGAAAGGATTAGTTTATCTCTTGAACCAATTAGAGTCACTATCACCTAGAGAAAGTAAAATGGCCTGAAAAATGTACCACATGGCTGATAATTTTTATTTGAGAAGAAGGGAGGCAACATCAAGAAAATCCCATGCCAAGACTCTAATGGCCGGACATCGTGGTGGAATCCTCCAGGGAGAGACCAATTGAGATTCATTTGTTCGTTCCACAATTTTAATGAGCAATCACTGTATACAAGGACCTGAACTTGCTCAAGTAGGAGTAGTGGAGGAAGGGTAGTTGAGTGCACACCACTTACCTGCCAGTGGATTTGTCTGCCTTATTTAATTTCACTCTCACCACAGCCCTGTGAGATGGGTTGTCATCTTTATGTTACAGGTAAGCAAACAAGCTGAAAGAACATTGAACAGCTAGCTTGCTCAAGGTGACACTCCCACAAAATCACCAAGGTGGCATCCAGTATTCCTTTTGTGGATCCAGTTCCCCATGCCAGTGTCTGCAGAACAAGGAAGAAACAGAGTCTGAACCACAAAGAAAGGCATGGACAAAGATCACTGAAATAAATATATCTGAGACAGTGATATAAGAGGAGGGGAACATGTAGGAGTTTAGGAGTTGCAAAATAAGGCAAGATTTCCAAGAAATAAAATTTAAACTTAAGCCGTTCTGGATTTTGACATGTGATTCATGAAGGAAGCCCTGCAGAAAAAAAAAAATAAATGTAAGCAAAGGAACAAAAATTATTGAGGCATACTAAGCCTCAGTGTGCTCCTCTATAAAATAAGAAGTATGCATATTCCTACTTGTTGTAAAGACTAAATATCATGATACATACTTACCCAGCTCTCAGTTTTGCTATGAACTTGTAAAGTGCATAATAAATGTCAGCTACAGTTATTATGTAGGGAGTTAAGGGAGTTAAGCTTGAAAAAGAAGGTTGGAACCACACTAAATGCTGATGTGAATGTCACTGGAAAGAATCTGGACACTGTAACATAAGCAATAAAGAGATAATACTGAGAGTTTATGAGTCAAGGAGTTTTACGATAAAAGTTACACTTTAGAAATTATAATTCAGTAGTGGTGTCCAAGATGGACTGAAGTAGGAAGACTAGCTTTATATAGTGAATTAAGACTAAAGTCCAAATAAACAAAGGAACAGGAAGATATCCATAACCCCTAAACTAACAGTGGTAGAATGGAACCACATATACATAAAAACAAACATATTCCATAATTGTGCACAGGTTTGGCTCTACATATTAATACAAAGATAATTTGCAATTAATGGATCCAATAGCAACTGATCCTACAAATATACTGAATCTGCAGTGGTAAGAGATTCAGTAACAAAATCCTATGACAATGACTATGTCACTCTGTAAATATTGAGTATCTCCAGTTTTCTATGCTTTGTAATAAATGCATATGCTATGGTATTGAATCACCCTCAATACACTTGGCAAGATCTAGTATGTGTATAAGTTGCTCAGTATCTGATGGCAGAATCAAATGTGACCATAAAAACAGCATTAATGAGCTTGAACGAACCATAGTTAAAATTCATCCCAAACACCTTAAATTTTAAATTTTTGACTTGAATGAATTATTCCTAGTCTCAGTTTTCCTTAACTAGAAGTAGGAAATCACAAGAGTTGCAAGTTTGTGTCCTTGTGCTGAGGTTTAAATAGAAGCAGGATTTTGCAAAATGCACGGGCTAAAATCTTAAAATTTAGAATGCAAATAAATAAAGAAATATTGTTTAACATGTTTAAAAAACTGGAAAAAAAAGAATTGAAGGCATGAAAAGAGGAAAAGACATCATTAGAGATTTCCAAAATCATTTGAAAAATCACCTAGAAGAAACTTTAGAACCATAAAATTCATCACATAAGATTGGAAGTGATCAAATTACCTTATCTGCATATACAAAATGAAACCCACTATTCTGTATAATTGTTATGAACCAATAAAATTAATAAAATATAGCAAATAAAAAGTACATTGGACTGGATAAACCTAAAAGTAGATACCTCTGAAAAGGTGATTAATGAACAGAAAGTATGTTACATCTAAAGAAATAACTCAGAATGCAGAAAAGTGAGTCAAAAAGAGAAAATATGAAAAAGATGTTTAAAGAGAGGAGATGAAACAGTCCAACATGCTTAAATTTGAGCAACAGAAATAATGGGAAGAAATAGATAAGGGAAACGAGGTGAGATCATCTAAAATTTCATTAGAACAGCAATACTTCAGTTTCAGAAACATAAAAAATCTTGTACAAGGATAAAAAGAAACATTACAAAGGACAGATAGTAACCAAAACTGAAGCATAAAAGAAAAAACAAAGAGAAAATCTTAAAAGCAGCCAAAGATGAAAGGCAATCCTATAGCTAACTTTACTCCAGTAGCAATTAAAGCCAGAAATCACAGGAATAAAATCTTCACCAAGTTTGGAGAAAAAAAAATAACTATTATATAATTGCAAATGTAGAAAAATGAACTTTCTAGAAGAAAGGACAAATAAACACATTGTGTCCAGACCAAAAGTTTTCCACCAATAGACACTTCCTAACACTCGCTATGTGAGAAAAGGTACGTGAAGAAATTGTGAAAGGATTGCTGAAGAAACGTCTAAAATAAAAGAAAGAATGTTGAACAAAAAGAAATCACACCTATTGGTAGAAACTTTCTCTAGGATGCAGTGAAGAGGATCATGATGTCATCTAATTTGTATGTTTAGGAAAAAAAACCAAGTAAATATCTGATAACAGTACATATTAGTTGGAAGTGGACATTATAAGTGGAATGGTTTTAAAATCCAATTTTTTGAAGGAAAAAAAAGGCAGATTTAATTGTTAGTTAAGATGATAGAAATCAGTCCAAACTTACTGTTACTAACAATAAATGCAAATGAACTCATAAGAAAAAAAGAAAGTAAAGGTGAGGGGGGAAAAAAGATTTCTCAGTCATCGCTAGGTTCATGACTGGGACCTCTATAATGAAAGACATTGACCAGAAAATAGCATGTGAATTTATGTACATGTTATATGACATAGAAGCTCTCAGAAAGAGGAGCCCACGAAACAGGGAAAACTGAGTGTTTTGATGGACAGCCATGCAGGTGTGGGATGGAAGTACAAGAATCTGATCTAATGGTAATAAATTGGGGTTTATGGGCTGGGGATGTGGCTCAAGCGGTAGCACGCTCTCCTGGCATGCGTGCAGCCCGGGTTCGATCCTCGGCACCACATACAAAGAAAGATGTCATGTCTGCTGAAAACTAAAAAATAAATACTAAAATATTCTCTCTTTCTCTCTCTCTCTCTAAAAAAATTTTTTTAAATAAATAAATAAAATTGGGGTTTATTACCTTGCTAAGTCAGCAAAGTCTTGTTGGATCAGATTCTTCCTGGTATCTCTGTGTCATTCCTCTGGATATAAGAAGAGGGCCCTTGAAGGTTTTCTTCAGAGGTCAGAGAAGTCCTCCCTGGCTTAATGTGAGGGAGACAACAAGGGGCAGATGAGAGTGGTCTCCCTGCTTCCACTGTTTCCTCAGTGCCAAGGTGCCACATTTTGGTGTAGCTGTCCTGAACCCTGTTAAAAGGAACAAATGCAGATGTCACTGGTAACTATAGATTCAAACAAAATCAGGGAAATACATTCACACCAGATAATACAAGCCCTGGGGACAAAAACATCATAAGGAACAAAAAGGATATTATACACGGGTTAAAGAAGCAAACAGGGTCACAACAAGAGAAGAATGGATATAAGGAAAGAAGGAAAGTAAAAAAGATAAGGACAGAAATGCATGAAATAGAGATGATTGATAAAATCAAAAGTTAATATGATAGCAAAACTTTGTCGATACAACAGGAAAGATTTTTTTTTTAATGTATGCCATATAGGAGAATTAAGAATAAGTAAATTACTAGAACATAACAAATATATTTTAAATGCTATGGAAAATTAATGCCAACAGATTTTAAATACAGATTTTAAAAAAAGATACATTTGGGGAAGCATGTAAAATGTCAAAATAGAAAAGCTGAGTAGATGGATAACCATCAAATAAACAAAAAGTGGCGTTTTGGCAACTTGTTTTCCATGAAGGTAAAAATTAATCATTAAGCTAGGCATAAGATTCCTGTAATCCCCTTCCCTCAATGGTTCTGAGTTAGACCTAGCAAAGGAGGAGTGTCGAAAAGGTTGGGAAGGTGGGAAGGAAGCAGCTGCCACTACTCTGAAGAATACCACAGTCCAGTGAGGTGACAAGACAAGCAATGGGCTAGAGCCAGCCTGGGCCAGCTCACAGGGGCTGATGGTGCAGATCTCCTTGTAAATTATTTTATAGCAATAGCTTGAAATCAGACATAGTAGAAATACTTACATCACAGAATTGGCAAAGACTTAACTCTGGACACCACTACCTATTCTACCAGTTGTTAAATGCTACCAGGCAACTACTGTGCCAGACACAAGAGATGTCAGTGGATTCCCTGCTGACCAACCTTGGGCCATTATCAAATGCTTGAAAGGTCCAAAGGTGGTCCTTCTTCAATACATTCTTTTTTAATATTTATTTTTTAGTTGTAGTTGGATACAATACCTTTATCTTATTTATTTTGTATGTGGTGCTGAGAATCGAACCCACGGCCTCACATATGCTAGGCAAATGCTCTACCGATGAGCCACAACCTCAGCCCCTTCATTCTTGAAAGTGAAAAAAAAAAATGTAAGCACCTTGATTACATCACAAAGTAAAGAATGACTCTAAAAAGCAAATCTGATATTAGAAAATGACACTATAGGATCACTTTAGCATAAAAACATACATCCAAAGCCCCAAATGAAATAAAAGCTAACTGTCCTAGTATCAGATTAAAATATCTGTATCATAGTCAATCAGGGTTTATCCTGCTTCTATTAGAGTTACTTGCTACACCTGTATGTCTTCAACTGTTATAGGGGAAAATTGAATCATCATTTTATATGTGTTAATGGATTGAAACAGAAAAAATAATGCCACGATCACTTCAAAATGTACATGGGGCATTTGGCAAATCTCAATATTTTTAAGTATTATTTCAAAAAACGAAAACAAATAAATAGCTAAATCATAAACAGAAGAGGACTTCCCTAACTTGATAAATATCTACCCAAAATTCAACAGCAACTAGGTAACCAATGGCACAAGTTTAGACATATTCTACTAAATATCAAAAACGCTGCCACTCAAATAGCCAAAGCAATCCTTAGCAAGAAAAGTGAAGCAGGCTGCTGGGGTTGGGGCTCACTGGTAGAACACTTGCCTAGCATGTGTGAGGCACTGGGTTCAATTCTCAGCACTGCATATAAATAAAATAAAGGTCCATCGACAACTAAAAAAAAATATTTAAAAAAAAAGAAGCAGGAAGCTTCACAATAGCAGACCTTAAATTATACTACAGAGCAATAGTAATAAAAATATCGATATTGGCACCAGAACAGGCATGAGGACCAGTGGAACAGAAGACACCGAGACAAACCCACTTAAGTACAGTTATCTCATACTAGACAAAGGTGCCATAAACATATATTGGACAAAAGATATCTCTACAACAAATGGTGCTGGGAAAACTGGAAATCCAAATGTAGAACAAAATTGAAACCCTATCTTTCACCCCACACAAAACTCAACTCATACTGAATCAAGGACCTGGGAATTAGACCAGAGACCCTGCACCTGATAGAAAAAAATGTAGGCCCAACTCCATCATGTCAGCTTAGGAACTGACTTCCTCAACAAGACTCCTAAAGCACAAGAAGTAATATCAAGAATCAGTAAATGGGATAGTAGCAAACTAAAAAGCTTCTTCACGCCAAAGGAAACGGTCAAGAATGTGAACTCACAATCGCCTACAGAAGGAAATGAACAGGTATTTCACAAATGAAGAAATATTGGCCAACAAATATATAAAAAAAATGTTCAACATCTCTAGCAATTAGAGAAATGCAAATTAAAACTACACTGATATTATCTTACTCCAGTTAAAATGGCAACAATAAAGAATACAAGCAACAATAAATGTTGGCAAGGATGGAGGGAAAAAGGTACATTCATACATTGTTGGTGGAACTACAAATTGGTACAACCACTCTAGAAAGCAGTATGGAGAGTCCTCAAAAAATTAGAAATAAAACCACCATTTGACTGGGTTATATCACTCCTCACTATATATCCAAAGGAGTTAAAATCAGCGTATGACAGTTATGCAGCCACATCAATGTTTATAGCAGCTCAATTCACAGTAGCTAAGCTATGGAACCAAACTACGGTGTCCTTCAACAGATGAATGAATAAAGAAAATGTTGTATGTATACATAAATGAATATTACTCATCTATAAAAAAAGAATGATTTTATGACATTTGCAGGTAAATAGATGAATCTGGAGACTATCAGGGTAAGTAAACTAAGCCAATCCCCCCAAAACAAAGTCCAATTGTTCTCTTTATCTGTATATGCTGACACACAACAAGGGAGGGTGGGGAAGAATAGAACTTCATTGGATTAGACAAATGAGAATAAAGGGGAGGGGGCAAAGAATCATAAACACAGTAGAATGAACTGGATATAATTTTCCTATGTTCAGATATGAATATACCATCAATGAAACTCCACATTGTGTGCAACCACAAGACTGGGATCCTAATTACAATAAATTATACTCCATGGATGTATACTATGCCAGCATATAGTCATGTGTATCTAAAAAGAAAGCACTTTCTTAAAAAAGTGACCAAAAAAAAAAAACAGAAATATTGCCACTCTTTGACATAGGACTCAATGTCTTGACTAACGCCATATGACAAAGAAAATTAATTGGAAGTATGAGAATTATGAAGGAAGTGACATTATAATTTTAGTAGATAATATAATGCCTTACATAGAAAATTAACAAAATACTTTTATTGATAGTTAAGAAAAGCCCATAAGTAAAACAATAACATAAAAATACACAAATGTCTTTGAAATAACAACTAAATGATATAATAGAAAAAAAGATATTAATCACTGCCATAGCAAATATATATGAATCACTCTAAAATAAATTTATAGGAAAATTTACAAGAGATTTTTAAAAAGTGAGTGGAATGGTAAACTATGTTCATGGGTTAGACAATTGTTAAAAGATATCCATTGTCCCCAAAACTACTTTATTAATTTCATGACATTGAGTAAAACTGAATGTAGTTTGACAGGTTCTTCCAACAGGTATGGAAGAACATACAATTGTAAGTAGGTAAAAAATTTAGAATCAAAATATTTTTAAATGGAAGGTTTATTCAAGCAGGTACTAAAAGTCAAAGAGATAAAGTTAGATAGATAATAATTAGGGCAATAATCAATATAAATTAGGCCAAAGGGAAAATTATAAAGAAGCTTTTTAATAGACATGCATCACAAATCAGTGGGAATAAGATATATTGTGGAGTAGATTCTTCACACACACAAAAAAACAGAGGGTATATGTGAAAATATGAAGATAAAGAAAAAAAGATGTAGGAGAATATATCTGAGACTAGGGAGTAGAGAAGGAAATAGTTTCTTTAAATAATTTTAAAATTCTATGGGGAAGAATTATTATTATTATTATTATTTTTCCCAGTGAGTGAACCCAGGGCACTCAATCACTAAACCACATTCCCAGCCCTTTTTCTTTCTTTCTTTCTTTGAGTTTGAGAGACAGTGTCTTGCTAAATTGATTAAGGCCTTGCTTAGTTGCTGAGGCTGGCTTTAAACATATTACCCTCCTGCCTCTACATCCTAAACTACCGGGATTACAGGCATTCACCATTGTGGGAAGAATTAATTTTAATACAAATTTCATGACAGAATCCTGTCCAGTGAAAATTTTTACCAAAAAAAAAAAAATACTGAAAGACTGAGGAAAAGAATTCATAACATTTAAGAGAGTTAAGGAATTAATTACAACAATACACAAGAAATATCTATCAGTCATCCAGAAAAGAACTGAGAATTTATAAGTAAAATGGGCAATCCTAGGTATAGGCAATTTGCAAAAAGGAAAATCTTTGATGTCTTATATAAGCATCTGATATTCAACCTCATTACTAATCAAAGAAATGTAATTAAAAGGGATGCAACTTTACACACATTAAAATGGAAAATCTTGAAAGATCTAATAACATCTTAGATCACCTATGTTACTGAACACCTGATGATACTGATGGGAAAAGATTAAATGGAGTACATCTTGGAACTCAACAAATTGTCCTTGAGGAAACGCATGTTAGAGGTAATAGTTGAAGAATTGTTTCTCTTTCTTTTTTTTTGTTTTTTCTTTAATTAATTCTAATTTGTTATATATTACAGCAGAATGCAATTCAATTCATGTTACACATATGGAGCACAATTTTTAATATCTCTGGTTATACACAAGTAGAGTCACACCATCCATGTCTTCATACATGTACTTAGGGTAATGATGTCCATCTCATTCCACCGTCTTTCCTACCCCCATGCCCCCTCCCTTCCCCTCCCTCCCCTTTGCCCTATCTAAAGTTCATCTATTCCTCCCATTCTCCCCC